AGGAAGAAAGGAAGAGAGAGAGAGAGAGAGAGAGAGAGAGAGAGAAACTCAGGCATTAATGACCACTGGAGCCTGTAAGGTCAGTGGAGAATTTATTACTAAAGTTTGCAAGAGCTACAGTGCGCTTCCTTCTGGGTAGTCGTCTTCCACTAAGCCACACTGTTGCCAGCTGCTCCTGTCAGGTGAATGATAATGACCTGGCTACCAAAAGGCTGGGCTTTAACAGGCCGTGGGATTTTCCCACTGGGCACCCTTCACATTTTAGTGTTGGAAAAATTCTTTAGGGAAAAAAGAGGGGAGGCCAAAAAGCTTTAGCATGATTATGAATCAGTATTTTTGAAAGGAAAGAACCAAGTTTTAAAAAGCTATTTGGGGTTTGGTACAGCTTTCTTACAACTACCCAGAACGGACTCAGATTCCGCTCCTTCCCTTACCTGATACATTCCACAGACTCCGGTCTTGATTTTAGGTCTTGATCTTTGGCTGCTACTCCAAAATGAATAGGAAAGAGCCCGCCGAGGATAATGTCTCCTTTCTTCTGGGCTCGCTGGTCAGGCCCATAGGCAGAGGCATGCCAGGCAAGGGCCAAGAGGACCAAACAACAGCTGTAAGATGCCATGATCCTGCCTTCTCTCCAGGGAAGAGACACAGTAGTGAGAGGGGTTTGGGAGCCCCGAAAACTTTCTCCCTTGGAGCCGCTCATGCCCTGTGGTGGGTACACAAGTCTACAGGGTGATCATGAGCAGGATGGAAGGCCTGGTGCTTGTATCTCCATTTCTCCCTTCTCCATTGCAGGCAGGTAGGGTGGATGGTCCCTGAGTCCTCAGAGGCCACATCCTGTGGAGGATGTCAGTGATGTTTTCTAAAAGAAAAGAGGAAAAAGGAACTCTGTGAAATTGATATCACATCTTGTTATGAATGACCAGGCCCCACCTCCTGACAGCAAGTCACATTACAAATTGGAGCAAGCCTCAGAGTTTCAATTTATTTGTTGTTGTTTTTTGTTTTGTTTTGTTTTTTGAGACAGAGTCTCACTATGTAGTTGAACCCTGGAACTCACTATGTAGCCCAGGTTAGTCTTGAACTCTCAGCGATCCTCCTGCCTCAGCCTCCCGAGCGCTGGGATCACAGGTGTGCGCCACCACGCCCAGCCAGAATTTCAGTTTAGAAGGGCTTGGGGGTAGTAGGTAGAGAAGGCAATGACTTAGAGTCACAGTTTTACAGCGCTGCATATGTGAGCGCTTCAACTGCCCATGTCATTGAAGGACTGTGTTCTATTCTGAGAGGCCATATTTTGAAGAGGCCATTGATAAGCTAGGGCCTCCACTAATGCTACTTTTGGGTTGTGCTCTATTCATTCTTCTGCACTAATAATGCACAGAATTGGGTTTAGTGGCAGTGGATCCTTTTGTTATAATATTAATGACATTTTGTTCAGCACACATATTCTTGTAGAAAATACAGAACAAGGGATATTTAAGTTTAAATCTGACCTGGAGCCAAACAAATATGTCAGAAAAGGCCACTTATTATTTTTTTATGATGCCGCCCCTTTCGTGCAGATTGCTTGCTCCAATTTGTAATGTGACTTGCTTCCAGGAGGCGGGGCCTGGTCCGTGCAGGCAGCTTGCTGAGGGTGTGACTTGGCAAGGTCTCCACTGTGGCTTCTACTTTCTCTCCTCCCCAGGAGCCGTGAAGTGACCAGCTTTCCTCTGCCAGACCCTTCTACTATGTATTTCTTGCCTTGGAGCCAGCTGACTTTGGACTGAATCTTCTAAAAACTTGCACCAAAGGAAACCCTTCCTTTATGTTGTGAGTGTTGTATATTGCGTCTTAGCAATGAACAAATGAATACGATAATCACAAAGTCCTATATATTCTTCTTCCTAATCATCTCCGGCACTCATCTGCTCTATTCCACTTGCAGGGCCATTGGAAGTCTCATTACTTTTTACCTGGTTTTCTGTCAAACATTTCCTAACTGGTCTCCCCACCTTTCAGTTTTGTTTCCTTGCATTCCACCTTTGCAAATCTTTGCCTTTGGTAGAACAAGTGGTTTGCAGCACTGGCTCTGGGATTAAACCTGGCTTTGGATCATAATACTGCTTCTTCCTAACATGAAATTTTTGGCAGGTGACTTAGTTTCTGTGATCTTAGTAAAATAATGCATGGAGAGCCATCAGAACAGCTAGTAAATCCATGGAAAATGCCAGCTACAACACATCTTCCAGCCTCACTCTTGCTAGTACTCTCTTGAACTTCACACTTCAGCCTTGCTGAACTTCCTTCCTTAAGCATCTCAGGATTTCTTTTCTTTCTTTTTTTTTTGTTTTGTTTTTTGAGGCAGGGTCTCACTATGTAGTTGAGGCTGATCTGGAACTCACTATGTAGCCCAGGCTGGTCTCAAATTCACAGTGATCCTCCTGCCTCAGCCTCCCGAGTGCTGGGATTACAGGCGTGCACCACCACACCTGGCTAGCATCTCAGGATTTCAAAATACATAGATCTCCCACATGTTCTCTCTCCTCCTTGGCCCACCTGGCCCAAACTTTGCCTGGAAAACATCTAATCTTCTGACTTTCAGAGGTCCACAAATGTATTGAGCTGTGGGGCCTTTGTGTAACTGAAGAAAAGAGCTCATTCTGGGGCAGGTATGGTCTGGAGGAGTGGGGCACACTGGACTTCAGCCCGTGTTAACCTAACCACAATGAGCAACTTACAGGACTTTTTAAGAGGCTGACAAGGCCTGAACTGCCAGGCTAGGAAGGGCCATCTAAAGTAGATGGACCCTTGCGCCTTGGATCTCAGAATTCTCCTTTGGAAGCTTTGTTATGGTTACATGCATATATGTCTGAGTCCATACTATTGTCATGTGCTGCCTTTTGCCCCTGAGCAGGGGGGATGGTGCACTCTCACTCAGAAGGTACACCCAGCAGGCATTCAATTTCCATGGAATGACCCCAGCAATGTTTGAATACCCATGACCAGCCAGTTTTTAAACTCCAGACCTACTTTTAGATTTTTGAATTCTTCGCTTGGATGTTGGTCAGGTGCTCATTGACACATTGCAAAAGTACATGTGCCAAGGTCTGGGGCTCTACAGGTGACAAACACATGTTCCTGTCCTTGGGAACCTCTGATCCAGTGGGCAAGAACCCTGGTGTACAGGATCAGAACTCACATTCTACACTCAGAAGTGGAAAACAAAATTAGAATTTTGTCTCCTCTGACTAAATTCAAATTCATCCTCTTTCCAGCACTTAGGAACTAGCATTTATTTCTCAGGTATTATTGTGTTAGCTCATTTAAACACCAATGTATTTTAAACTACTAAAAAATTTGTGGAAGAAAGTAACACTAAGTTCACTTTCTACATAGGGGAATTCATTTTACTTAAGTGAAAAATGCTGGTACTTGATTTAAAAATGCCTCGAGAACTTAGATTTTAAGGAGTGCTGTGTACTGAGTTAGGCAGAAGATGGAACAATATAACTGGCTAGAGTAAGTCACTAAGATCAATTAAATTTTCCCTGTGAAAGATTAACTACTCTGGGAAGTTCACTAACTTCCTTAGTCCATTCAGCAGAAAATTGATGACAAGAATCAACAGATGGAGAGATTAAGGAGCAATTTGGAACAGTTACCTCTGCCAGTCTACAGTAGTCTCTAGACCATCCTTTTTAGTCCAGTTACCTGATCCAATTTGCTGTCAAAACTAAGAGTCACTTAAGATCCTCTAGCTCCTTTTCCTTCGGCATCTGAGCCCTTTGTCCTGTGGTTCTACCAGCACTTTGTTCTGCCCTCTTCTTTCTGTTTCTGTTGCCAGTGTCTTTGTCCAGACTCCCACTAGCTCTCTAGCTTATTCCTCCCACAGCCTAGACACTGACAACCAGGACAGGACCAAGTGCAATCCTAGCACAGTGTTTTAACAACTGGAGCTCATCTCTGTAACCTCAGTTTGCAGTAGTTAGAGCAATAAAAGCTCCTCAATCATCACTCACAACACTTTAATATCTACAGTAGACTTTTTCTTTTTTCTTTTTTTTTTGCAGAACTGGAAATTGAATGTAGTCTTTGCATTGAGTTACATCCTTTGGCCTTTGTTTGTTTACTTATTTTTTTATTCTGAGACAATATCTCACTAAGTCACTAAGAATCCTAGGCTGGGCCAAAACTTACCACTCTCCTGTGTCAACCTCCCAGAGTGCTGGGAATACAGGTGTGTGTCACTGCACCCAGCAGACTTCTAACTGTACCTGTTATATTTGCATTCTTTTATGTTCCAGTGAAATCATTTTTAGCTGGACTAGTGGCTGTCCAAAACAAAGACTACTTTCCCCGATTTTCTTTATGATTGTGTGGTCATATGACCAAGTCTTGGCCAATAAGATTTAAGCTGAGGTGTCCTGTGACCGTTTCCAGGAGTCTTGTGTAGGAAAACTGGTGTTTGCTTTCGGTCCCTTTGTTCATCTCCCTTTACTCTGCTACATGGATGTGACTGCTGGGGTCCACCTTGAACCATGAATCACACTGTGGCAAATGATGAAACCATGAGCTAAGGATTTTATAGAGCAGAACCTTGCTAATGGACTATTTCTGAACTTTTACGTGAAGGAGAAACAATGCTCCTGGCTTGTTTAAACAACTGTTGTGTTTTTTCTTATTGAAGTATCTCCAACAGTATCTGAGTCACAATAAGCTTGTTTGTTTTCTTCACTATATGATTACTCCATTTAAATTGTATCTAATCATGTTTGCTGTTCCGCATAAAAGTATCGCACACAAAGCTGATGTTAATATTTGTTCTTTCTCTCAATGGCAGATACATCTTAGAAGAGGAAATGACCTGTGGCCCAGGTGCTTTTCTGTTTAGAAGGTCCTTGACATCATGAGTAGTGTTTCAGTACTGACAATGACTGATCATTAAGTTCCTTGTGCAAGATGTAGAATGTAAGATGAGGGCACACTGGTCAATGGGTTCCACACATCCATGAATTTATAAGTTCATACAATTATTTACTCTTTAAAATATCTCCTGAGTTCTCTCTGTGCTATACACTAGGGAATGCAAGATACTAGGGAAAGAAAGTTGATATTTTTACCTTCAAGGTGATCATTGTTTAAAAGGAGATGGGAAAATACATTATAATTATAACAATGCAAATGCTATAGATAGGTAGGAACTAAGTGTTCAGGGAATACAAAAGAAAGAGTGATGTCGTCTGGTGATGCCAGAAGAGAAACTAAATTGGAGTGGGGACTGGCAGCTTCATGAGGACCAGCCTGTCGCTCTTCCTCACTCTGCCTAACCAAGCACCATGCCCCAAATTTAGCTGGTGCTCCCCAAATATTTGTTGAATAAGTTAATGAAGTGTGACCAATATTGATCAGGGGCTGGTTGGAGAATTTCAGGACAGAACAGGGAAAGGGTCACTCTGGGAGACTCCAGGTTCCTGTGGATAGGGCATTAATCATGATCATAGCTGTAGCCCCAGCATTAAACAAGGGACCTAGTACTGATCAGAGACTCTAAAAATATCTGTTGACTTTGCTTTTCATCCAAAAGCAGGTCCATAGCTCATTCAAATTCTAGAGTCAAAGACAAGTTAGCAAAAGATAGTAAGGAAAGATTCGTAGTCAACACTGACATTTCAATTTTCACCAAAGAACTACCCCTGCTCCTATTCCTTAGCATCATTGTTTCTGGAAATCATTTAACTTTGGAGCAGAAAGGTTTTACTCACATTTGAAGCAGAGAAAACTGAGGCACAGACCTCTGAATGTAAAACCTCTCAGCAAATTAAGGGCATGGCAAACTCAAAAGCTACACATTTTCAATTCCTAGATTGGAGAAATAAAAAT